TTTCTTTACAAACTAAATTATTACAAATACAGCGAAACAAAAGTCGTTTTCTTGCAGCTTGTTCCAGTTCCTGACAATACTTCTATGCTCCAAAATGTATTGGGGGAACAACATCTTACTGTGTCAGTAATGAATCACATCCTGGATGGCTGTTCTAAAGAGCCAATGGCATTTGTTATTTTCTTTTTTTTTCATACAAATGTTTTCTTATTTCCAATGTTTCTCATTTCCAGTAACTGTACCCGGTCCTGCCAGCTCCTCATTTTCTGTGATGTTGATCGTTGTACTAGTTGGAGTCGTTCTCTTTATTGTCATTGTTCTCCTTCTGTTATGGTGGCTATGGAGTCAGTCCAAACGTGAGACTTTCTTCTTCTCATGGTGTTGTGGGACATACAGTGACACGTAAAAATGAAATGCTTTGAAATTATTTAGCTGTTAAACAAAGTTGAGGATAAATAATTTTTCACAAACGTACTTTGTTCCCCTGTCCACAGATTCATGGTGCATCAGGTCAGTACGCTGGTATTTACTTTTCTCAACAATCCTTCATTGAATTTAATTTCACTTTAACTTTATACATAATTCAGGTCAAAGGGCAGCAGTCAGAGCTCCTCCACAAATCAAGGACTCAACCAGACAGAGAGTCAAGTTTACAGCTCTCTGCTACACGGTTAGTAACTCTGTTGTTGATTTACAAAGTGTATTCTTCTGCTACTCACTGGGGATTTTCCAGCTTTTAAACATAAACTGTAGGAAAAAACTACATTTTATTTATAGCTTTATCATAAACTTGTAATGTACCATAAAGCTTTTGTTAGGTTATACTTGTGACAGACTTAATACTAATCTACTTAAATGCATGCTATAATTTAACCTTGACCTTTTTTTATGTTGCAGGTGATACTTCTGAGTATGAAACAATCCAGCCAGCCTCCAACAATAGTAAGTTTTATTTCTTGAAGCAGTTTTAACATCTTTATGACACAATCATAAACATGACATAAACATTTATTAATGTTTCATTAATAAATGAATCCAAGTACTCAACTAACGAGCTTTACTGCTTTGAAAAGCTCATTAAACACAAAGAAATTAATATATTTAGACTTTAGACATACACGATGATAATAAAATAATATTCATCCACCTATACCTGGGTGGAGGTTTCCTTCTCCATCTCTTGTTATTTTAGACCTTTTGCCAACATCTGTAGCAGAGTTGGTTAAAGGCTGGTTACATTTTACCATCCAGCAAAACCATAATAGTTCAGGCTTTGCTAGCTTTGGGTCGGATACATTTGTTTCTGCAGAATTTTATCCACCTGCTGAAGTAACTTAATTTGGATCCTTTTCTTTTCATAAGTAAATTAAAGGCTTCTTTTTCTGGCCAAGAATTTAGAAAATGTTGTGGCTAAGCAGATGTAACCTCTACTCTTGATCAACATTGTATTCTGGACTATTTTCAGCCAGGGTTTTGTAACTGCCAGTCAAGTAGCAGCTTTTCCTGGAGTTTCAAATGAGATTTTGATGAAAAGTGATGAAGGTTAATGTTCTGCTGCTTATGTTAGATCTGATTTTGGACCTGAGCTTTAAATACTGTGGATTGAAGTGCAGTGATTAAAAAATCTCCATCTTCTGACAGATCTCATCCTGTCTAGTTTGGTGTTCCTCAGGGCTCTGCTTTGGGAACATTGTTGTTTTTGCTTCCGCCTGTCACCTTAAGGATACCTGTTTGTTAGGCAGATTATATCCATCTGTACATTTCATTGGATTAATGTTTTACCTTCTTCACCTTCAATTTTTTTTTTTTGGTTATTTCTGATCATTGATAGGGAGGCCTGTTAACCCAGAGGACGATCATATCTACACAAATATGAACAACAGAAAACACAAGTAGGTGAGTTCAGCTGCAGCTCCAGTTAATGTTTTCAGCTTTACTAAATGCTATTGAAACTCAACATGCAGTTCAGACAATCATCTGCCCTTTGAGCATCTACAAGCTACAAGTAGAAATCAGCAGAATATATCATAAAATATATATAAAAACATATATTGTCAATCTTTAAAAAAGTTTGCTTTGAAGTTTTCATGGTTAAAATTGTTTTTACAAATGATGACAAAAACAAGAACATGTGTTACATTTTTACACTGGAGTCCTGCAGCAGTTATTTTGAAATCAGATCAAGAAAGTTTACAAAGATGCATGTCAACTTTCTGGTGGTTAGATTAAAATGGTTTTTTTTATTTATTATTGCAACATAAAAAAACAATCCCACATCCTCAAATGTTTCTAACATCAGTCTGTGAATGAAGATGAGCTGGCAAACATTTTGTGAAACTGATGCAAGTCGCTCTGGAATAAAAACAAACATTCAGAAATTGGAAAATATACAATTCAAAGTTTTGTGTGACCTGAAATCACTTAGGTCAGTTTTTATTGTAACATAGTAGTATGTCTTTTAAAATTGCAGCACTTATCATGTTTTTATTCTCTGAACAAGAAAATTCACTTCTGTGTTTTGTGTAAAGAGTATTATTAGCACTGTTTATTTCATTTGCATACAGAAAAAAACATATTGCTTAGATGTATAAATATTTGTGTGTATTTTTATTTTTGACCATTTTTAGCTCCATACTTCTTGTCTTGTAACTTGTATATTTCTCCATGTAATGTTGTCACATTGCTTCCATTTAATTACAAACTCACTGGATGTTTGTTTTTGAAATGTGAAATGCCAAATCATGCACAAACAACAACTTGGGAAAGCCATGACAGTTTGATATGTTCATTTGTTACACCTGGCTTACATGTGATGAGTCATCATGCTAATTGAAAGAATGTAAACATGTTTACTGATGATGTTAAATTGATATTTACCTAATTCTATGCTGAGAATATAATTTAAAAAAAAAAAAAAGAAGAAGAATGTAACTATTCTTTTCAGTCAGGTTTCAAATTATTTTCACGTTTGGTAGATTTAGATTTTTTCCTTCAACCAAACAGTTTTTTAAAAAAATGAAACCAACAACTATTAAAATCTTTTTATAATCATTGTTTGACTTTCTGGGTGTTTCTGCAGGTAATTTGAGTATTTATCTTTGGTGATGAGCTACAAGTCTCTGAAGTTGGTATAACTCTTTGCCATCACCATAATCTTTTCTTCCTCCACAAATTCACTGTCACATTTAACTCTGCAGTTGTTTTCAATGGGGAAAAACATAACTTGACATAAAGGTCAAAAGGTGGATTCTACATGAAACCACCGTTTAACTTTAAAGTGGATCGTGAAGATTGTAGTTGAAAGAATTAAAGGGGCAGTACCATGTAAAGCAAACTTCTTTAAATGTTATAATATCTATCATCTAAAACATAACTGGATTGTTGCCGTTACACTCACGAGAAACTCTTAAATCTCCGTGGCAAACATTCAGTTGTGCAAAACAACTCCTCAGAGATACAGTTTCCAAGCTTCAGTTTCACAGCAGCCCACACTTACTACTCCCCCATCAGCTCCTTCAGACTAGCCACCAGCAATTAGCAAAACTCCGGTGGAACTGCACATCAGCTGAGCTCATTGACCAGCTGCTTTTCAGAGAAACGGGGAGTTTCACAAAGAACAAGAGATTTTAAAGAAACAGACACCTAATTTCAAGGCATTTTAAATCATATTTTATGTATACAGCATTTTTGTAAGTGGAGTTATTTGATTGTGCTATAAAATGGCACTATCTGCCTGGAAAACACATTATACTGCCCCTTTAAAAATGTCCCACCCTTGTGCCATCAGTCCACAAAATGTTCCAATTTAGACAAATTTAGTAATTTGTAGCATCGGGTCGTCATATGAACTACAAGCACAAACTTTAAAACTGGACGTCTCTTATATGAACGAGGCAACACAGTTATGATTGCAGATCTTTGACTTTATTCCACCAACAGTGACAACCAAAGACACATTTATAGTGCCTTTATCATGTGGTATGTCTAAAGCACCAAAAGTAGACATCTGAAAAAAAATAATTTTCTGAAAACTAAAAATTATCTTTCAGTATCAAGATTTGGACTTAACCTCTGAAATTACAGCAGGTGATATCCAATTCTACAGACTCCAAAAGGGACACAGTTGGTTAAATAATCAACACAAACATATTAAAGCCCTGGTACTAGCATGTTTCCTAACTGATTCAAATGAACATCAATAAGACTGATCTATTAATTCATCTTTGGCAATAAAATTGGTTCTGAATCATCAGTTTTTTGCTTCACAAGCTTTTAAGCACATAGCCACACCACAACCTGCTGGCCATTAGCAACGCCGTGACTGCTGTTGTTTTTCTGGCATCACAGGCACATCAGGCTAACAGCACGATGCTATCATTAAACAACAATTTAGTTTCACATAAGTCACAGTTTTAGGCCTGCTGTGAAGGCCACAAAACTTTGCATAATGACGCGTAGAGGAACGATGTCAGACACGTACAGAACAAATGAATCATGTGACTTTGCAGAGCTCCCTATCAGAGCTAACAGCAACACCTTCTCTATGTGGTCAGTAAATGTGCTCAGCTCTAAATGAATAACAAGCAATACTTGTGAGAGTGTGGAAAGTAGCGCAACAATAGTGGTATTACTGTGGTTAGTGTAGTTGCCATGTGCATCAACTTGTCTAGCTACTTTGTAGCATCATGTTTAGTTGTAGTTACATCTGCAGATCTTTTACAAAAAGTCTCCATGAGCGTCACAAACTTGGTTTTTAAAGCATTCCTTGTAAAAGAGCTTCACCTTAGAGTGGATGACTGATGCTAAAACAATGCAGTACAAGGATATAATATTGTATTTATAAACACATTTTAAAAGAACAAGCTCTCTAATAATTTTTGCACCACAAATTCATGCATATGCAGAAATCCACATCACCTATTTCAACTTCCATCTGTACAATTTTGGTTGAGTGTTTTTTAAAGGCCAAGCGCAGATCTTTGCACATGAAACAAGTGAACATGCAGCGGACAGGAAGCATAACGGCTTCTAATAGCTGCTGCCACCAAAGCGGGGAGGAAACCGACAGTCTACACATAGGTAGTCAGGTAGACCTCGCATTTGATCTGCATGTGAGGATGGGGAACGAGCTGCTGCTGAGGCTGAACTTATTCGGTAAGTAAATGACTGAATCTCTATTGGCATTTTATATAAAAGTGTAAAACTGGTTGAAAATGTTCATCTGGCACTTAAAGTAACATTTTAATGGCCCAGTTAGGCAATGTGAGTTAATAAAAAAGCTATTTTCATGTGAAAATACAAATGTTTAAATGTAATATCACTAATTGTGCCAGTTTGATAGAAATGTGTCTCCTAAAGAAGTTTATCTTTGTTTCAGTGCTCTGTGTGATCTTTTATGGAAACACTGAAGGTGAGAAATATATTTCATTTTCTCATTTAGTTTCTGTAATGTATTGATATTATTTTTATGAGATTTTTCATTTTAATACAGTTAGTATGATAGTTTGTGTAGCATTGCAGCCCTATTAAGTATAAGTACAAATTTATAGGCAAGTGAAACTAAACTAACAACCAGTGACTAGATGTTTTTTTATAGTTCGACTTTTCCCTTCTGGCTGTCAGCTAAAACCCAATGTACCGACCACAACCACCACAGGATCTCACCAGCACCTAAAACAGGATGCATCGTTTTTAACCACTTAAGTTTCATGCTCTGACTAAAAGAACAAAGTTGAATTAACCAGTTACTGAACTAACTGGTGACTAAACTAACCAGTTTGTAAGAGATTTGTGTGAATTTAACAACACGACCATATAACCATACATTAGTCTGCTGATAATTATGTATTAATATACCTGACAACAGTTCAGTTGTGACTGACAATTTCATCCATCTGGTCCACAATTTACCATCAGCTGCAGTCTGAAGGTATCCTTATATGCTATACTGTTCGGCCCAGTTATAATTATTATAATTAAATTCTAGTTGCTAACCTGAAAATGGCTGGCACATCTAAAGAGCAGGATATACTCCACAAATTAAAAAATGACAAAATAACGCATATCTTTTGTACTTTTGGCAAAATACTCGCGTTGGGTTTCAATCATCTGAAATGTCCAAGAGAAAAAGGACCAACAGCTTCCTGGTCTAAATTACTCTCCGTTTGTTCTGCAAAAATACTGATCAGGGCGTGCTGTGGTGGCGTAGGGGTTTAGCACAACCCACGTATGGAGGCCTTAGTTCTCGACGCAGCCGTTGTGGGTTCGACATTTGCCACATGTGTTCCTCTCTCTCTGTGTCCCCTCTTTCCTGTCAGCCTACTTTAAAATAATAATAAAAAAAAAAGATACGGGCCACAAGAGCCAACAAAAATCCTCAGAGAAAAAAATGTTTGATCATGGCTGATCAATTCTGTTAGTCAGAATTGATGCAACTGTTTGGTTCACAAATGAAGTTTTGAGACAGGAAAGCAGAACATCCTGAAATAATGTTCAATAATAACTCCACATAGTGACCCCAGAGAAACATTTATAAATTCTCTACTTTTACTTTTTTCCCAATACAAAAAACTACGATGTGACTCTAATTTTTTAATCATTATTAAGTTATTATCATGATAGTTTCTGAGCTCTCAGGGGTTTCTCTGACAGCTCACCAACGGTGATGTCTTTTCCTATGACACTTCAAAAAACAGTATTTATATGACTGAAACTCCATTTCATGACGCCTTAAAATGAAATGTTTCTGTTCATGTTATAAATTTTAATTGAGACATTTTGAGTTTTCAATCATCTTCAATATCTTCAATTTCATGTTTAAACCCTTTTTGCTGCATCTTTCCATTTCTAATACTGAAGGTTTGATCAACTGGACTTTGAAGTAACTTAGAGTTCATGTGCTCGTCTTTGTGTTACTTGATTTTAATCCAGATGTACGTTAGCTAAGATAAATTAGTGTTTAGTGCAAAGTTAATTTGGAAAAGATGCTGTGGGAAAAATAAGTCTAAATTTTTGAGATTTTGTCATCTGAAGCAATAGAAAAACAATCAGTTAGCTGTTAAAAATATATTTCCTGTCTTTACCTGCATATCACACATGCAAACAACCAAAAGAATATTTCTGTCTGTTTTCCGGATGAAAACTGTTTTGTTTTTGTTGAATAGTTTCCAAGCCGACTGTGATCCTTCAACCCAGTGGGTCTGTTGTATATAGAGGAGAGAAAGTCACTCTGAGATGTGAGATCAAGGAAGGAGGAAGAACTCAGTGGACATATGAATGGAGAACAAACAATAGAAACATTCAAATAAGATCCAGTGAATACAACATCAATGAAGTCTCTGAATATCACAGTGGAGTTTACAGCTGTATGGCTGCAGGAGATCATCAACAAACAGAATGGAGCGATGGCGTCACACTGACAGTGAAACGTGAGTCTGATTTAGAAACTTTATATTGTTTGGATTTAATATAAAACCAGGTTTTCTGTTATTTCTGACTACAAGCAAAATAAAAGCAAGAGACTTTCTATTAGATAAATAAAACAGCTTCATGTCACTGAAGTAAACACTACAGAGTCACTCTGCAGTTCACAATAAAGCCTTTAATGTGGTACAAAGCTATACTCAACATTTTAAGACAGTTTAGTGTTGAAATAGTTTAGTTTCTCCTGAAGTTCTTATATGATTTAGTGATGTGGCCTCTGTGTTGAGGCATTAAAGAGCGTGTATTGAGTAATCAATGAGGGTTATTGTATCGAGGCTTGTGGTGTAGAAACAGGCGGTGACGTTTGAAGCCTCACAATCGGGTCGAATCACATGACTGATTCAGAAACCGGACCTTGTGAATCCAAATGCATTGCTGTTTCTCCTGTCATATTTTCTTCTTTCAAGACTGTATTGTATATGTTTGCAATGTTTAGTGAGTTTCTTTTATGCGACGGACGTATTTTCCCCTTGTCTGGCAATAATGTGATTTTTCCTAATAAGCTTTGCACATGTTGATAATAAATTATCACCAAAACCAAGACAGAGAAACCACCAAGCAAAGATTGGTCACTAATATGATTTTCTTTTCTTTCTTGTTTATTTAAAACCGCAGCAGATAAACCCAGAGCCACACTGACAGCACACAGAACAATCATACCAGCAGGGGGCAGCATAACACTGACCTGTTCTGTGGATGGATCTGATGACTGGAAGTTTGATTGGTTCAGAAATAGTCAACAATATTTTGCACCCCGGTTCAGAGGAAACAGAGATCCATTCAGAGTTATCTATGTCTCAGAGAGAGGTGTCTACAGCTGCAGAGGAGGAAGAGGAAATCCAGTTTTTCATACAGAAAAAAGCAACATTCAGAAAATTGGTGATTTTAGTTCTATTCTGAAATAAACAAAAAAGCTGCTTTAAAATATTTATCTGTTTATCTGTCAAGTTTTATTACTGTTTGTTGAGCTCAGTTTGTGGTTCACCTTAAAACATAACATGTCTTTTTTCTTTGTCAGTAAATATAAAATGTTTTATTTTCATATCATTTAATGAGGCTGATAATCATAAGCTATAAGAATTCAGCATTTTCAGTTTTTTTCCTCAATATAATTTTCTGTCTTCTGATTGAATATTATACATTTTAGTGTCTGCGCCGACTGTGAAGCAGCATCCCAGCTGGCCTGTCGTATTCAGAGGAGAGACGGTCACTCTGAGATGTGAGATGGAGGACGATGAAGGAACTCAGTGGACGTATGAATGGAGTCCAGCCAATAGAAACTCTCCAACATCCAATGAATACAGGATCAACAGCGTCTCTGAGTCTGACAGTGGGAGTTACTATTGTATGGCTAGTAAAGGATATCAGAGCACAGGCTGGAGTCTTCACTTTCCACTGACAGTGAAATGTAAGTCTGACAGAAACATCCTCATTCTCACAATCCTAGAACATGGCTTGATTGATTTTCTGCTTTGAATCCAACAGCAGATAAACCCAGAGCCACACTGACAGCAGACCCAACAACCATACCAGCAGGGGGCAGCAACACTGACCTGCTCTGTGGACGGATCTGATGACTGGAAGTTTGATTGGTTCAGAGATGATCGACCAGTTCAGCTCAGAGGAACCAATGAACAACAAAGTGACGTCAGTGTGTCAGATGGAGGTGTCTACAGCTGCAGAGGAGGAAGAGGAAATCCAGTTTATCAAACGGAAGAAAGCAAAAAAGTCTCTGTTCTAAAAACCGGTGAGCTTTGTTCTTTTTCTTTAATAAAATAACAATCTTTCTTTAAATCTAGCATTTGTTTATCAGATGCTTTTTTTGGAAGCCATATTGTAATCCCATTGATGAGAAAAGGCTTCAGTAAATCAGTTTTTATATGACTGAAACTCCATTTGATGATGCCTTAAAATGAAACGTTTCTGTTCATGTCATAAATCTTAATTGAGACATTTTGAGTTTTAAATCATCTTCAGTATCTTCAATTTCATGTTTAAACCCTTTTTGATGCATCTTTCCATTTCTAATACTAAAGGTTTGATCAAATGGATTTTGAAGTAACTTAGAGTTCATGTGCTCGTCTTTGTGTTAGTTGATTTTAATCCAGATGTACGTTAGCTAAGATAAATTAGTGTTTAGTGCAAAGTTAGTTTGGAAAAAGATTCTGTGGGAAAAATAAGACTAAAGATTTGAGATTTTGTCATCTGAAGCAACAGAAAACATTCAGTTAGCTGTTTAATTTATTTATTTAATTGTATAGTATTTTATTTTATTTTGTTTTATTCATTTTTATTATATTTTATATTATTTTATTTTATTTCCTGTCTTTACCTGCATATCACACATGCAAACAACCCAAAAAATATTTCTGTCTGTTTTTATGTTGAAAACTGTTTTGTTTTTGTTGAATAGTTTCCAAGCCGACTGGACTTTGAGTTAGAAACACAATTAATGCGTTTGTTAAAATACATTAAAATAGTTTCTGTAAAATTATACTTTTGATTTATAAATATTCAGCCAGAAAATGTTTGCTTAAACATTGTTGATGTGGGTATCATACAGGTGAACATTAGAGATAATATCAGGATATTTCTGACTGTTTTCATGTTGAAAACTGTTTTGTTTTTGTTGAATAGTTTCCAAGCCGACTGTGATCCTTCAACCCAGTGGGTCTGTTGTATAGAAGAGAGAAAGTCACTCTGAGATGTGAGATCAAGGAAGGAGGAAGAACTCAGTGGACATATGAATGGAGAAAAAACAATGGAAACAGTCAGAGAAGATCCAGTGAATACAGCATCAATGAAGTCTCTGAATATCACAATGGAGTTTACAGCTGTATGGCTGCAGGAGATCATCAACAAACAGAATGGAGCGATGGCGTCACACTGACAGTGAAATGTGAGTCTGATTTAGAAACTTTATATTGTTTGGATTTAATATAAAACCAGGTTTTCTGTTATTTCTGACCACAAACAAATAAAAGCAAGAGACTTTCTATTAGATAAATAAAAACAGCTTCATTTCACTGAAGTAAACACTACAGAGTCACTCTGCAGTTCAATGTGAAGCATTTAATGTGGTACTAAGCTATACTGAACATTTTAAGACAGTTTAGTGTTGAAATTGCTTAGTTTTTCCTGAAGTTCTTATATAATTTAGTGATGTGGCCTCTGTGTCGAGGCATTGAAGAGCGTGTATTGAGTAATCAATGAGGGTTATTGTATCGAGGCTTGTGGTGTAGAAACAGGCGGTGACGTTTGAAGCCTCACAATCGGGTCGAATCACATGACTGATTCAGAAACCGGACCTTGTGAATCCAAATGCATTGCTGTTTCTCCTGTCATATTTTCTTGTTTGAAGACTGTATTATATATGTTTGCAATGTTTAGTGAGTTTCTTTTATGCGACGGACGTTTTCCCCTTGTCTGGCAATAATGTAATCTTTCCTAATAAGCTTTGCACATGTTGATAATAAATTATCACCAAAAGCAAAACAGAGAAACCACCAAACAAAGATTGGTCACTAGAATGATTTTCTTTTCTTTCTTGTTTATTTAAAAACCGCAGCAGATAAAACCCAGAGCCACACTGACAGCACACAGAACAATCATACCAGCAGGGGGCAGCATAACACTGACCTGCTCTGTGGACGAATCTGATGACTGGAAGTTTGATTGGTTCAGAAATAGTCAACAATATTTTGCACCCCGGTTCAGAGGAAACAGAGATCCATTCAGAGTTATCTCTGTCTCAGAGAGAGGTGTCTACCGCTGCAGAGGAGGAAGAGGAAATCCAGTTTTTCATACAGAAAAAAGCAACATTCAGAAAATTGGTGAGTTCAGTTCTATTCTGAAATAAAACAAAAAAAAGCTGCTTTAAAATATTTATCTGTTTACTGGTCAAGTTTTATTACTGTTTGTTGAGCTCAGTTTGTGGTTCACCTTAAAACATAACATGTCTTTTTTTCTTTGTCAGTAAATATAAAATGTTTTATTTTCATATAATTTAATGAGGCTGATAATCATAAGCTATAAGAATTCAGCATTTTCAGTTTTTGCTCAATATAATTTTCTGTCTTCTGATTGAATATTATACATTTTAGTGTCTGTGCCGACTGTGAAGCAGCATCCCAGCTGGCCTGTCGTATTCAGAGGAGAGACGGTCACTCTGAGATGTGAGATGGAGGACGATGAAGGAACTCAGTGGACGTATAAATGGAGTCCAGCCAATAGAAACTCTCCAACATCCAATGAATACAGGATCAACAGCGTCTCTGAGTCTGACAGTGGGAGCTACAGGTGTATGGCTAGTAAAGGAGATCAGAACTCAGGCTGGAGTCTTCACTTTGAACTGACAGTGAAATGTAAGGCTAACAGAAACATCCTCATTCTGACAATCCTAGAACACCAGACAACATTTATGGATGCAAAACTCCTCACATCTGCATTAATTCTCATGTTAAATGGTAAATCAGAAATAATTTGGTATTTTATAACAGGTTTAGACTACTTTAGCTGAGCCTGGCCATTGCTTTCTTATGCAGCAACACTCAGTTCTAATCTCTCTTCAGTGCTCTGTCTGGGCTTTCTCCCATTGACTTGGATTTTCTCCAGTAGAATTTCTATTGGGCCAATCAGAGAACAGAAGAAGAAGTTATGATTGTTGCTTTTCTGTGTTGTTTTAGATTTGTACTCTGTCTGTAGTTTTAGAAATGGAAGTGAAGTTCAGTTGATTCTAGTCACGCTTCCAAATACTGGTTTTTGAAAGATTAGTTTAAAATATTTCTTTTTAATCAGGTAAATTGATTAGGAATGAATTCTGATTTTCAACAATAACTTGACCAGGAAACATAAAACATTAAACAGCATAAGTGACTCAGAAGTTAAAGTTGATCTGAACAGATTGTTTCCTCAAACAAGCCACTTTCTAAAGTTTGTCTTGTTTTCTGTTTCAATCAGCAAATCGACCCAAAGCTTCACTAACAGCAAGTGATAACATCATACCAGCAGGGGCAGAGTAACACTGACCTGCCTTATTGACATTGGAGTTGGCTGGAAGTTTGACTGGTTCAAACTGGAGTCAGATTCTTCTGCAGCTCAGTCCATCAGAACCAGTGAATCAGACGGAGTCCTCTTCATCTCAGAGGGAGGAGAGTACGGCTGCAGAGGAGGAAGAGGAGATCCAGTTTTCTACACTGAAACCAGCAGAAAGGTCACTATTGAGAAAACAGGTAAACTTGTCTTTATTGTGAAATGAAACATCTTTAATGCTTCTTTGTACATCAGTGATGAATAAATTTTATGACTCCAGTGCAACGATCATCATCTGTAACTCCATCTAATGAAGCCTGAAAGCAGAAAATTTGCTCCTGTTCATGTTTATATTTAGACCAGACAATGAATTTCTATGTTGATATTGACAGAGTATTTACTGCAGCAACTTTTGTCTGTTTGATGGAAAACTGTCACAAATGTGATTATGTGATGCAAACAGTGCAATATTCTGGCTGTAAGCCAGTAATTTATAGGAAGTGCATATTATATGTCTAATACTGCTTTGTTTTGCTTCATTGTTCTTTACCAGTGATCATTTTATTTATTTAGTTATAATGAGAGTTATTAGACAGATATTCACATACACTGGATCAAAAGTTATTAAAATTGTTTTCTCAGTGTGTGAAGTAAATCAAACAACATTTTCTTATTTTAGTTCAACCAGAACAACCAAAATTATTTCTGTTTGCTAAATGAGAAAAAAAAACATAGTGAGCACATCTGAGATTTTTTTATTATCTTTCTTTGAATTAAGAAATGTATTTACCTTTTTTGTCTTTTAAATTGTCTGACTTGAGTCAAATCTTTTGGGTTTCCTTCCTCAACTGTTGATAGGTTAACTATGAATTAATTAGCCTTCAATTTACATTTGAGTTAATTGAAGGCAGACCTGAAACTCACTGCTTCCTTGTTTGAAGTTATTTAAATGACAAAAGCTACAAAAAAAATCCTTCAAAAGATATTTTCACAAAGTTTTCTGGCATTTAGCTAATATAAATAATTTAGTTAATTCTAACTAACTTAAAACAAGAGATTTGGTTTCAGACATTAGTAAATAATATGTATGTGTCTCTTTATTTGGGGTTTGGAAATATCTCCACTCTGTTACTCATGTGAACAGTTCCCATCACACCAACTGTGATCCAACAACCCAACTGGTCTCAGATCTACAGAGGAGAGGAAATCACTCTGAGATGTGAGATCCAGGATGATGGAGGAACTCAGTGGACGTATGAATGGATTACAACCAATAGAAACTCTCCAACATCCAGCAAATCCATGATCACTGCTGATAGCAGTGGAGATTATAAATGCAGAGGAAGAAGAGACGGTTTCACTATAACAGAGTGGGGAGTCATCACATTAACAGTGTCCTGTGAGTTCACCCATGTATGAATAATGTTTACAGGGATTTTACTAGCAAATCTTAATATGTAATAAAATATTTCTACATGTGTGTATGTATGTTTATACCTCCTCTCTCCAGCGTCTCCCCTCAGCCTGTCCTCTCTGTGTCTCCATCATGGCCGAATCCTGGAGCCTCAGTGACTCTGAGCTGTGAGGGTTTGGAGCTTCAATCAGCAGGATGGAGGTTCTTCTGGTATAAAGCTGTTCCTGATCCATCCAAGCTGAACTATCAACCATCCTACACTTATGAACTGCTTCCTGACAGCATCAATGGGACTGAGCAGAACTCCTTCATCATTAATGGACCGACTCAAACAGCAGGATATCAGTGCAGAGCAGGAAGAGGAGAACCAAAGTTTTACACTCGTGAGAGTGAAGTAAAGTTTATCTGGTCTGCAGGTCAGTTTGTTTCTGTTCTTTCATTGGATTTTTATTCCACAGTTTGTATTTTTTATGAGCTCAGGTTTCTAATTAACGTTTTGAATAATGTATTGTGTTCCTCCTGTTTTTTGTATTTTATTAATAGTGATAAACACACCACTCCGTTAGGTTAGAGAAGATGAATATAAAACTGAGACAATTTCGACAACAATAACAAAATAATGTGTTGTTGAAGCTATAAAATAATGATGTGATCCTCAGTCATTTCACTCTTTTCAAAGTTTTGCACATCTGAGGCAAAGAATTAGCTTTTGACTCTGATTAAATAGTTTGGGGGGGAAAATAAAGAAGTTGGAAGCAGCAGTTGCCTAATGTTTTTCCCTAGGGTTTGTGTAATGGTAGAATGAGTCAACATGACAAAATTATTTAGCTTTCTGCTAAAAGTCAGTGATAAAGAGAACTACAACCAGAATACAGTAAAGTGTTTATGGGATCAGAAGCTATAAGGAGAATGTTTCCGTCTGGAACCGCTAGGGGGAGCTGTGGTACATGGTCAGCTGCAATAACTTGAAGAAGGAGCTGACAGAGCAGCCAGTTACCTGCTGAACTTTTATTAATACGTTGTTTCATTTTCAGTCGTTTTGGTTGTTATGTGTACTTAGAGTTTTAGTAGTGTTTTACAAAATAAAAATATTGTGTGATGTTTTTACATTTGAAATCTTCATTTATCTGTTAATTTCTTATTTCTATTGACCTGCAAATGCAAACAGCATTGAGTCTCTCTGAATTGCTTTGGGGTGCTCTGAGCTCTGTTTTCTTAGACTTCAAATTCAATAACAGGTTGAAAATTCTTGTCGTCCTTCACTATTTACAATGATACTAAATGAAGGAACATGTCACTGCTTTCTTTCCTTTAACGTGGGTCCATGGTGCTCAACTGCTTCGTTTTCTACAGGGATGCACGTTTTTATTATTTGGTTCAACATGTGACTCAAAAAATGTGTGAATTGTTTGGGTTCTTCTGCATTTATATTTGTGATGTGGTGAAAAACTCAGGGTACAATGAAACCATTGTAAGCTACATATGTAAATTATATTATTTAAATGCTATTTAGAAGTTTGATTAACTATGAATTATTTGCAGAAATAAGATTCTAAGTTTTTGAAATTTCCTTCCCTTTTGACATTTAAAGGTCAAAAGCTTGGAGTCATTTTTGACCATTTCTTTTTAACTGTCATAAAGTAACAAATTAGCAAATTATCACAGTGGTTGTTACTGTTATTCATACTTAGCAAAGATAGTAGTTTTTATATGTTTTGGTTTTAGTTTTGTTTCATCAAAGCTCTGAAACTCTAACATCATTTAAAATATATATATCAACAACTTTAATCAGATCAAAAGTTATTTCATGTTACTCGTATTTTCTTACTTTTTTTTAGGTGTCTGGTTTTTACACTAATCATTTTACAGCTTATTTTACAATCACAGCTCAATGAACATTGTTTTTTTACATTTTCTCAACACAACTGCTAAGAGAAATTCTGTAAAATTCTGTGTTTTTTTCAGACTCTCATCCAGCAGCTTCTCTCTCAGTGAGTCCTGACAGAGTTCAACATTTCATTTATCAGTCTGTCACACTGAACTGCAGTGGGAACAACACCAAGTGGAGAGTGAAGAGGTTTACAGAATCAAGCGGTCCATCATATGTTCAGTGCTTCAACTGGGGGAGGATGTCTAGATCCTCATGTACCATTAAGAGACTGGAGGATCACAGTGGAGTTTACTGGTGTGAGTCTGGATCAGGAGAATTCAGCAATGCAGTCAACATCACTGTACAAGGCAGGTTATGAATTTTTAAAAAAGATATTTTTGGTTACTTTTTATTATTCAGAATGACTAGAGTTCCTGTAGACATATCTCGACCGGAATCTCGTGTTCCTACATTCTTTTCTCTTCAGGTAATTTTTATCAAATGAATAAAGCAAAATTTAGCGTTTGACAGATGGAGCTGAAGGGTGTTAACATTTTTTCTTCTTTAAAATCGAGCAGGTGACCTTCTTCCTTTGCCTGTTCTGTTTTGTAAGCCTGCTATCCAAGTAAATTTTAGGAAAAATAACAGATAACTGTGTAGCTGTAGAACGTAGATCTTGAAAAATAGTCAAAATTACTAATAATCAAAGTTATAGAATAGATAAAATTCAACTTTGTTCCTTGTCTTTGTGAAATGGAGTCTCATGACAGTTTTTTAAATTTTATTTAATATGTATTTTTTTTCTGAAATAATGCAATTTTTAGGTTGATGTGTGAAATTCTTTGCCATCAATAGTAATAAAAAATAATAATTACTATCTATTGCTGAAAAAATAGAGATTGTGTTTTCCATTGGCTTGGTTTAACACTCAAAGATCAAAAATTTTTTCAAAAGGTTGTCAACAGTTGATTGCTTGTCAGTAGTTGATATTCTTGCTCTTTTACAGATGATATTATCCTGGGTGCCCTGTTCATCCTGTGACTGAGGGAAATCCTGTCACTCTGAGCTGCAGAAATAAACAACAACGTCTCTAATGTGTTTTTCTATCACAATAATAAACTCATCAATAATGACAGCAGAGGGGAGCTGAATATCTCTGCAGTGTCAAAGTCAGATGAAGGTTTCTACAAATGTCAACATTCAGGAAAAGAGTCACCAAGGAGCTGGATGTCTGTTAGAGGTGAGGAGGATTAAAATATTTGATGGATTTTATTTATTCTTATCTTAATGAACGTAGGTGAAACCTGGCTGTCAATAATTCAGATTCAGATTTTTCTTTCTTGTACATTGGTCTTAAAGTCTTCAAAAGTTCATTTTTCTCTCATACATGTGAAAATTGGTAGATTTATGCCACAAAAAATTCTTCAAATTCACCTTTTGAAGAAGATTTTTCAGTATATCGGATTGGAAAATAATATTGCAGAGAGAAATCAAGTTGCTGCAGTTGAGTCACACAAAAACAGTGTTGATTGGATTGCTGTACCTTTTTTAATAAAAGATCTTAATTCACTCCAAAGTTTATGACCTGGCCTGCTTTTTTTTTATTTGGTCATCATCAGAAATACATCTGAAAAACACACAAAAGTGTTTAGTGTTAAGATATTATTGGGGAAACGTCATGTTTTCAATGCAAACAGAGAATAGGCTCATAAAACCCAGTAAATAATTTGCTTCCTTTTCAATGTTTTTCTTATTTCCAGCAGCTGTGTCCAGTCGTGGCAGCTCTACATTTCCTGACAAGCTGATCGTTGGACTGGTTGTTGGAATCGTTCTCATTATTCTCATTATTCTCCTGTTCTTGTTGTGGCGCTGTCGTCGGTCCAAAGGTGAGATCAGAAAAACTCTTACATAAAACATCAAACCACATTTTGTTGTTGTAGCAACATGGCAGCTTGAACAACAAGATAATATAACTATTGTCTTTTACAGACTCGTGGTGTATCAGGTTGGTGCCACACATTGCCATATTTCACCCCAGATGTGCATCAATAATAGTTTGTTGACTCAAATTCACCGTTTCAGCTCCAGTCAGTCCAACAGAAATGATGTCATCAACCAGACTGAAAGCCATGGTTACAACACTCTTCGTCTCGGTCAGAATTTGATATTAATTATTTTCATGTTTTCTCCTTACTGCCAGACAATAATTTATGCCAACAAAAAGGAAACTAAGTGGTAATTTTACTATTAAGTTGTAGAAGTTGTTACTTTGTTGATCAAGTTTGTTTGTTTCTTTTCCTGCTCTTTAGGTGATGTTGGCATCTATGGGTCAGTCACATCCCAGGGAGCTGCAGGAGATGGTAATGTATTTTTTTTTTAAATTGAGTGATAATGGTAGTTATGTATTATATGAGTCCACTTAGGAAAACAACACACAGCATATAAAAATACCACAACATTATTTTCTTTAATTTATTGTTTTTCTGGATCATGTTATGAGGGAAACCTCGTGAACCAGATGTGTTAACCTTCCTCGATCCTTTTAAAATATGTTTATATATTTTTCTACACTTTAGGTGACACTCACTTCTACGAGTCAGTTCAATACCCCGAAAGTGGAGGAGAAGGTATTAATTTTCAAAGAATTGATGATGTAATGAGCCTGATCATCAGTAACTGACGTATCGTCCCGTATTTTATTTGCAGAAGAACCTGAAGGTCCTGCATATTCTCTTATTGAAGTGACGAAAGCAGGACACAAGAGTGAGTCTCAAACAGCACAGAACGAGCAGCTGGAGACGAAAACGCTCAACACTTTTGACCCTGTCTTGTTTTTATAGGGAGGCCTCATGAGCGCACTCCTTACTCTGTACTGAGAACAGGAGATTCAGGTACAATCAGCCACAATAGTTGATCTTTTTACTGAAATACATCTTCGTGACATCATGCCGCAGCTTAATATGATTTGCATCAGTTGGTCTGTTTCATACGTCTGTCTGTCAGCTGTTGTTATAATTCAACAGTTTTCCAATAAACTGTCAATTTTATAATTTTATTTTCCATTTTTATACTTATAGTATAAAAAGTTTCCCGGCTGCAGAATAAGGAACTGCAGAGTGACGTTTGTCTTTCATCCGTTTTGAGTTTTTGCGTTAAACTTATTTCGCCATCGTTATTAAAGATTACCTTGACAAATTTTTTCAGCAAACCGTCTCTCCGTTTCCAGGATCATGGAGTCCTGCTGCAACAGATGAGGCTGTTTATTCAGAAATCACCATGGATACCGCAAGCTAAGCTGGATCACGCTGCTAAATACAAGATAAACTTTGCTTTAAAGAAAGCTGCATTTATGAACATGAAGCATTTTGTCAATAAAACGAAAAAATCTAATATAATATGTTTCATAGTTTTGATGACATACATGCTGATGAAGGACCAATATTGGTTTTGAGCATAATCTATCGGCTTTTTATTTTAATTCATGTTTGAAAATTTGCATGTAGGGAGAGGAAAAAGTGAGATTTTTGAGCTTCTAACTTAGGAGCTTTTTTGCCTGACTAATTTTAAAACAATATTAATTTTTCACATAGCATAGATAAACTTTAATTTGTCATTAAATCTGAGCCACAATCCCCAGAATTACAAGCAATAAATTTTAAATATCTCACTCTGTGTAATGAACCTATGTACTTTCTGAGGTAAGTTTTCCATGACATTTAGATTTTTCGAGTTGTGATTGTATATCATCACCTTCCTCAAGTAATGACCTATGTCTTTTTTTTTTTACCAGAAGAAATTTTTCACTTTTGTTGAAAAACAAATGCAAAACAACAACTAAGGCCATCATTTTAGGAAGGTGACACTAAAGGAAGTAGTTTGCACAAGACACTTGTGCAACTTTTTCTTTTTTTGCAGGCGAAAAACAAGTTTCGTTAAAATGTGTGTAATTGAGCAATAACAGCTTTAGACCCTCTAAATTTATTCAACAAACCTATCAGATTGCGTGCAGCGCGGCTCTTCTGCAGAGGAGTCAGAAACCCCTGCAGCCGATAGGACGCATAAATATATTGAGCAACCATTGCGGTCAAAGCTGCTGCAGTTTTTAAAACTGAGTAATGGGAAGGAAACACGTAGACAGCTATGAAGAAGAAGTATTCTGGGAACTTCTCTTTTTGTTCACAAGATAGAAGATTTCCTGGTTATAGTTGTTCAGCAGGTCGAGATGTGAGGATGGGAAACACTTGGCTTTACGCGCTATTCTGTGAGTACATTTATTAACGTTAAAAATACATCATTAGATGAACTAAGATTTTCTTAAAATGCCTCCTTGTCTCTAAATAAAGAGATACTGCAAGTATCAGCTGTATTGTTGTATTAAACACTTTCAGAAATGTTCTTAAATGCCAGTTTTTCTCTGTTATTGCATTTTTGTTTCTTCCCGATTGACCCGTTGTTCTGACTTTGTCCTAAATGTGTCTGGTTTATTCAGTGTTCAGCTCAGTCATCAGTGGATACGTCAATGGTGAGACACATTTCCTAGTTCTGTGGTCTTGACTTTTCATGCCTAATATTTTATTAATAGTGGTATCTATCGAACTGCTGGTGGAATTGTGAAACTTCTTGTGTAAATAGCAGAAACACGAAGGTATTTCTGTGGAAAGACCTGAACTCTCTTCATAACCCACAAAGTTCAAAGTTGAGACGCAAGGAGCCACGATGTCATTGCGAAACCTTAAAATATTGCTACAGTGAATGAGAAGCCGCAATATATTTTACTTTCTTTTGGCTTTATCATTTATTGGTAAGAACAATTGTTGGGTTTTCCGACAGAGAATAACATATTTGTATTAAAAATCCACTGCTGTTTGAAGAAACTCACAAATCTTTTGGAGTGTGACGACAAAGTTCTCCAAAGATCTGGAGACGAAACGAACCCACAGGACCAAAGATCGTCTAGTATACCAGCGTCAGCTGCTGACCTTTTACTGCTACGTTTTTGTGCTGCTTGTTTCACCTCAAACCAACCTGAAGTTTTATTTCCAGGTTGTTTTGGAAGTAAAACTCTGAACCAATAAGACGAGAGCAAAAACTGCTCCATATGAGCCTGAAAGTTTATTTATCTTCTCATGCTTGATAAGGTTTCTGTTGGTTTGCAGACTGAATGAGGACACAGGAAACTGTTTGCTGAGAATATATGCAAACGTTTGTGACATTTCTGCCAATAATAGCACAACCACATTTTTATATTTATATATATTTTAAAGCATCCTTGTGTTTTCAACATGTCTATGAATTTGCAACGGCAGGATAGATTAAGAGTTTTCAAACTCCTATTAGGATTTAATCTCTTCTCAACCTAAAAATCTGCTGGACAGGAATTGAATGTGTCGATGTTTGAGTTGCTCATTGTGACGTTGTGGTCTGCAGTGGCATTGTGGGTACAGGTTCAATCCTGAGAGGTTTGAATCTCTCAGGGTTGAAGAGGTTCAAACGCATGCACGTTAAAACATGCATGTATTTCAACGTCTTTTTGCTGATTCACTGTTTCTTTTAAACTAATACATTATGTTGTTTATGTGAACAGTTCTCAATCGAGCCACTGTGACCCTGAACCCAAACTGGCCTCTGATATACAAAGGTGAGAAAGTTATTCTCCAGTGTGAGATCCCAGGAGGAGAAGGAAGAAAGTGGACGTATGAATGGAGACCAACCAGGTTAAATGACCCTCAAAGATCCCAGGAATACATTAACATATTTTCAGCTAAAGAGTCTGATAGTGGAGAATACAGCTGCAGAGGAACAAGTGGAGATGAATCAACAGACTGGAGCGATGTTGTCGTATTAACTGTGTGTAAGTTGGTCAGAAATATTTCATATAAAAAACTTCTTGCACATTTTTTAACATGTTTGATGCAAATAAGTGATAATTCGTTAAAAGGTAAATGTTTTTTTTCATCATCATCATGTTTGTTCTTTAGACAGTCCTGATAAACTGGTTGGTCAGATTTTTTGGATTATCAACCAGTTCTTCCTTATCGATACAAAACGACTAATATTTTAATTAAAATACATGTTACAAGTTGAGCATAAATGTTTGTTTACCCAGAGCTGTCTTAGTTTTAAAGGTACAAACCTTTAGTTAAAGATATATTTTTGACAGATGTACAAAAACAGCTACTATAAATAAAAACAAATTTTCTCATTGAGTCATTTCTGACGGTTTGAGAAAATAAAATATTTCAAAGTTAGAACTGCATGAATTCCTTCATAAAGTGCAGAAGAGTTAGAGGCAAAAAGTGCTTTTTACTAACTGTCTGAAAATAATCTGAGTTCTCTCACGACACTGAGTTTCTGACAGCTTGTCGAGATATTTTTCTTTAAACTGAAGCCTTTTATTGACATAGAAACTCTTCAACAGATGAACTCTCTGTGTCTCCATCATGGCTGAGTCCTGGAGCCTCAGTGACTCTGAGCTGTCAGGTTGAACCTTCACCTTCAGGAACCAGGTTCTTCTGGTATAAAGCTGTTCCTGATCCAACAAGGAGATTCTACAGCTATGAGCTGCTGCCTGGCAGCTCTGATGGGACTGATGAGAATTTCTACATTGTTCATGGACTCAATAATACAGCAGGTTATGTGTGTGAAGCAGGACGTGGAAAACCAAACTACAGAGATCCAAGTTTTGTCTTTTCAGCAGGTCAGTTTGTTTCGATGTGTCTCCTTTCAATGAGCAACTAATGATCTGTTTACATTGTTCCTACTTTAGCAGTAATTTAATTACATTGATTTATCATCAAAGTAAAGAAGAAATGTCAAAGTTTTTATCTTGATTTTCATACATTGTTGAATTTTAAATCCAAAGCAGCAATAAAAACATAAAATGAAAAAGTGAAAAGTAAAAGTTTTGGTGCTTTTGACAAAAACAGGCCACCTCCAAAATCACTCATAAACTGCAGTTTGTGTCTTTTGAGACAAGTTTTTGTTGAAGAGATTTTACATGATTAACTTTTTACCATAAGATTAATATTAGACTAAAGACAGTAAATAAAGCCATAAATGATTTGGAGAATCTGTTTTCAGCTTTATTCTAGATTAAATGTCTTTCTATATTAAATTTTAGATCCTGGTCCAGCAGCTTCTCTCTCAGTGAATCCTGACAGAGTTCAACACTTCAGATCTGACTCTGTGTCTCTGAGCTGTGAGGGAAACTCTGCTGAGTGGAGAGTGAGGAGGTTTACAGAAAGAAAGTCACTATCAGATTGCTCCATCTGGGGGAAAATGAATGGATCTACATGTATCAACAGCTACCTGTTGGATAGTGGAGTTTTCTGGTGTGAGTCTGGATCAGGAGAGTTCAGCAATGCAGTGAACATCACTGCACCTGGTAGGTTATAAAACTTTTCTTTCAGATTCTTATTTATTGCAAACATTTCATTCATATATAGTGCAGAATGTTACTGTAGGTTCCTCATGACTGTAAAACTCTGTTTATGAATTAACTCATTTTTCATCACGACAAAAATACAATTTAACTTTTAGAAAAATAAGAATCATAACATCTAATGATGATGTTGATGATTGCATGTAAACATTTACTTCCAATTTATGGATTATTTGTAAAACTGGAGGTTCTATGTTTTATTTCATGACAGTCAAATTCAGTTTTCCTTAAATGCACAAGATTATTTGTAAGTGATTATTTATGAGTTAATTTTTAAAATATCCACTGCAGATAATTTGTCAAAAATTTAAATAATGATTTATGTAAATGTGAAATATTTTCTTTAATGACAGCTGAATCTTTGAAACACATTCGTGCCTGAAATTTAATTTAATCTGACTGTTTTACAGACTGTTTTTGGAATAATACAATCCTGGTGAGCCCTGTTCATCCTTTGATAGAGGGAGATCCTGTTAATTATTGACATTAATTTGTTTACTTTTAGTTAGGAATCCATAATAATGACAGTTAAGTCTTGTATATTTACAGCTTTTCTCTACTTTATATGTGCAGAAAGTGATACAATTCACATTTCATATTCATATTTCTTTAATTTGACTTGAAATTGAGTGTTAAATCTTGGCAAAAGAAAAAAAAAACTGCTTTGTACTTGATTATTTTTTAACTGAAGTTTCTCTGTCACCTCCATTTCTAAATATCACTTCTGAAATGTGATGTTATATGTTTTACAGGTGATTATGACGCTCCTCTTCTGGTGAGCCCTGTTCATCCTGTGACTGAGGGAAATCCTGTTACTTTGAGCTGTAGAGATACAAATCAAAATCGTCTCTCCAAAGTGTTTTTCTATCACAATAATAAACTCCTCCACAATGATAGCAGAGAGGAGCTGAATATCTCTGCAGTGTCAAAGTCAGATGAAGGTTTCTACAAATGTCAACATTCAGGAAAAGAGTCACCAAGGAGCTGGATGTCTGTTAGAGGTGAGGAGGATTTTAAAAACTTCAGGTTTTAAAACCTGAAAGAAAACTAAATGGGTATTCTTTGAAACCATTTAGTAGTTTGAACAGAACACTTTGGATCTTTTTGAGGATGTAATGCAGACTTTCTTTCCATGCTCAAGCCTAAAGTCACATTTATTAACAATTATTCCTTTTTAATGTTTCTCATTTCCAGTAACTGCACCCCATCCTGTCAGCTCTTCATTTCCTGTGCTGTTGATCGTTGGACCAGTTGTTGGATTTGTTCTCATTATTCTGCTGCTGTTGTTGTGCTGCTGCAGACGGTTCAAAGGTGACGCCTTTTCCTTATCAGAAATATATTATTGATCAATTGTTTTTAAAAAAGAGAGATGAGGTGAGAGAAATGACTGCAGATGCAAATTAGCCGACCGTTAAATCCCTAAATTATTCAGATAATGAACTTAAAAAAACTCTGTTACTTAATATGCATTGTTGCTTATGAATAATAATATTAAAAATGGATTAATGTGATATAAAATATATATTTTCACAGGTTTATGGTGCATCAGGTCAGTGCAGCATGGTTTTATTTCCTTTAAACTACAATTTTCAAACCGTCATCAATTTAACTGCATGTATGATGTTTCAGATCGAAGCAGTCAGAGGGCAGAGGTCAAACCTCAAACACCAGCGATGCTGCAGATCATGAGCACAGGCCTCCTCCTCATGGTCAGAGCTTCAATGTTTGGGTTTAGTCTTTGAGATTCCCTGCTTCTAATCACATTAACATAACTAATGATGGTTTTTAAGCGTCTCCTTCATCCGAGTTTTTTAAAATTCACCAGTATGTAACATTCAAATTTCCATACAATCACAATTTGCACGAATGTCATTGATTTTGTGTTTTTAATGCTGCAGTTTCACTTCACTTTTGATGATGCGCTATGAAAATTGGTCTTAAATTGATTGTGGATCTTCTCACTGATCCACAATCAACACCACATGTGTAGTTTGACACGTATCCAGCTGATTGAAATTTGGAGAAATGTCCTCCAGTAAGTAGGAGAGAAGCTAAGAGTTTGAAGTTTGCAGCCGGCGTCACGATGGCTGGGTAGCTGATCGTTTTTAAAATGGTAAAAACAAAAATTGCTGACATTCATCCTAATTTGTTGGTTTCCAGGAATAAAGTCCATATTTTAAGAAAATGTGCTTTGAAGCATGAGCAGATGGTCCTAACTCAGATTTGCTGCTGCTCCTTTGCTTTAGGAACAGGACATATTACACTGCTCAAAAAACAGAGGCGTGCTTTTTTCCTTACAAACTCAAACATTTACTGTAACAAGCGATTAAAACATCGAGCTACTTTTCTTTGAATGTGTAGTAATATTAACATTTAAAACTATTGTTTCCACAACTCTTCTTCTATTTGTTTTCCCTCGGAAACAGCATGCGTGTCTCTACCAGTTATTGCTAAAGTAAAGCCATTTATCTAACTTGTGTACAGTTTCATCCCTCCCATCAACATTTTAACCATATTTAGACTTGGCGATGGCTGCAAAAGCTTTAGCAAAAGTTGCTGAATGACATTTAGCCACTAAATTCCACTTGTTCTACCAATTCTCCTCTGAAACGTGTCACAGGAATGTGTTCTTCAAGTATTATTATCTACATAAAATGACACAAAACATTTTCCCTGTTTTGCTGCAGATAACGCCAATCCCTATGCGTCGGTCAAGACCTCTGAAGCGACAGGAAATGGTGAAGTATATCTTTGAAGCACGGCAGATACAAAAGTTAAAGTCTGATCTGCCGTGACTCGTCTAATATCATCAAATATTTCAGCTGCGGATGAGTCCACAGAGGTCACGTACTCTCGCATTGAGCTGAAAGACATTGACAGGACGAGTGAGTTCCAGGCACGTTTAATGTGCAACGGGAGAAAACAGCTAAGTGGTTTCAACCTTGTTGTCGTTGTGCCCAATCTAACAGGGAGGCCTCGCGAAGCAGAGGAGGGCGCCGTTTACTCCGAGGTGAAGTTGCAGCAGTAGAATGAGGATAAACGGAAAGGTAATATTTGATTTTGTGATGCCGGAAAGACAAAATCATAACAGTGATTTAAGGTTTACTGTCAACACATGGGTCCGGGCACCATTTAATATGAAAGTGAAAAATTGGGTTTGAGCTGGCTGAGATTCAGATTTCAGTATGTGACGAGTTTAGTTGAGTTGGTCGCAGTTACCAAAGATTTGGTCATAGAGTTCATGAGAATCTCATACTGGCCGCTTGCTTAGTTGAGATCGATGAATAGAATAAATCCAAGAGAAAAATGAAAGGTTAAGAATATGTGTGCATTCATCTTTATTCGTCAAGGTCAAGAGTTTTTATCTTGAAAAATTGTACAGTGATGAATCCGTGGAAAGATTTCAGATTCTTTTCATTCTGTAGCTAAACGTTTGACACAGATCTTCTTTTCATTTCCAGACCAGAGGAGTCCTGCAGCAGCAGATTCAGTGGTTTTATTCTGAAGTCAGATCAAAATACCAACACTGCCACGTAAGACGCATGATCTGACGTCCTCTTCTAAAAGTTATGACGAGTTAAAACTCATCACATCCTTCAAAATCCCACTTTTCCCACATGTTCCTGTTAGGAATCCGTTAGGGAAGCTGCTTTATGAGATTACTGCAAGAGCTAAAATGCTTTTTCTTAAATTCATTAAGATTTATTTGTATTTGCTGATGTACAATTTGACGTAGTTTTTCTTGTATTCTGTTGCAAAAGGTAGCAAAGACAGAAAATGCGAAACATGTACATTTTTTGTTGAGTTTTTGTTTCACAATGTTTTCAAATGCATTAGTTGTCACTATAAGCTCTGTTTCTTTTTCAAATTTTGATAAAGTTGGTGTTTTCATATTTTCATAGTTTGTCTTTTTATGCTGCTGTGGTCTGTGCAGCGTTTTCATTTGCTACTGTATTACACTGGTAGTGTAGCAGTTATCTAATCGTATAGTCAGCTTTGCGTTTAAAATGTGATAACTTTATTGTTTTTCTAATGCACGAGTCTTAAATCAAACGGATTGTGAAGTAAGCTCTGTCAACATCCATATAATTAAGTTTGAACACGTGAAGTAAGTGATTTGTTGGATTTTTCTGAAGGGTTTTATGTTGTCAGTAGTGATGGGGAAATGAGGCGTCATGAAGCGTTTCGACCCAAAGCAAAATTGTATTGATACTGTGTGACTCAATACTGACACCTGCTGGACATTAAAAACCCCTACAGGCAACATAGTTGACAGGCTGATTTGATGATCTAGTCTAATACAATAAGATTTAAGACATTGTATTTTATTGAATTGTTTTCATTAAAAAAAAATGTTTTTCCAAGATTTTGAAATTTAGTCTGTTACACTTTTTTTGACAACTTCTGCTGTAGTAAACAATACATTTATATGAAATCATTTATTTAAAAAAAGCAACAGTAATTTGTAGAATGGCTGTATATGTGAGTTTATCCTTGGTGCATCTGGGATTCATTCTGATGCCTGTAATGCCTCAGCATTGAGGAGGTGGATTTATTTAAATAAGACAGTTCTGTCAAACATATGCAACATAGAACATAATATGAACGTGAACTAAGAGTCAATTTCAGCTGAATTTGGATTCAGATAGATCAAGCAGAAACTGAAAAAAAAAATGAGAATGAAACGGCAACAAAGTGAGAACCAACACCTTATTGTCTGATGTAAGATCAAAATGGCCCAAAACTACAAAAACTTTCATTTGCCTTGAGGCTCCATGTAGACGCTGTACTTTAAAAGATCAAATTATTTTGGCAAATGCATCCTGTTGACAAATTCGCTTCCTTATAAACACAGTTTGGCGGCAGTGTCATTTATTAAAGTTTCTTTATTGATTACATGACTTGCTTAATGCAATACGCGCACCGACACTGGGCTTTGTCTAGACGCTTGATGCATGCGCAGACACAATGCCGGACTCATCACTAGTCAGTCATCTGATTGAGAGTTTGATCTCAGACTTTATTTATAACTTTATTTTACAGCAAAGTGCAATGGATTTTATTTAATAACAGTTCACAGTTTAACTTCTAGAAAATCAACCAATTTAAATTAGTTCCTCCCAGTTTAAAAGCAGCCAGTAGTCCTTTATCAGCTGCTAAATGCATGTGATTGTTTGCTAAAATACATGCATTAAATATTTGTTTGGTATATATTTGATGTAGAAAAAGGTATTTTTGGAGATTTCCCCCCCAAGAATGGTCCATTTCATTTTGTGTCATTTCAGAATCAAGTCAACTTCTGAAAATGATTCAAATACTGAACCACTGAAATCATGAGCAATCAGGCAGTACATACAAATAGGAAGTTAAAGTACTTAAGTCAATCAAATGGTTTAATACTCAACTGATTTTAAAAAAATAAAATAAAACTGCACAACATTGAATCACTTCAATGAACTTTATTTAGACAGTGCTTATTCACAACAAAAGTCATCTCAAAGCACTGTACAAAAAAAAAAAAAGCAAACGAGTGCAATTCAAATCCTGCTGGATCTGTTCGTCATTTTCACTCTAACAGCGATGTGATAACCTATTACATTTGAACACTGAAGTAAGCAAGATGTATGTGACGTTTATAAAATATTGTACACCAAAATTTAATAAATGAAACTGCATCATGAAGGTAAAATTGTCAATAATCTGAAAAAAAAAACTCAATAATTTTGGTTGTTAAATGAAATTATTTAGCTTTTTTCTTCAAATAAATTTGGCCGATTTATAGATTTTTATGGTTGACGGAGATGAGCGGTAATTTATTGTAAAACAAAAGAAAACTGGGCTTCACTTTTATCAAATATACAACTACTGGCCCAAAAGTGTCAATGAAATTTGTACGTCTGACCACATTTTATCAAAAGGTCGCATAAATCTGCAATCTTTGATTGATGGGCAGAAAAAAAAAACAAAAAGAAAATGAAAATGCACAATTCAACATCTGGGGATAAGTTTCTAACTTTATGCCCACATTATATGTGGTGCTCCACGAACCACAATTACAACGTGAGCAAATTATTTGGCTGGGCAGTGTGCGTCACCAAATCTGAGAGGTGAGAAGTAAACTTTTATGAGAGGAACTTTAAATGTTCACAATTTTAGCTGGAATTGTACAATGAAAGTGCCACATGATTCCAAATGTAGTTGTTTTTATCATAAGGTATAAGTGTACGTAAAAAAAATGTTAACACGTCAGCTTACATCGTATAAATCAAGTAAATCCACATGCCAAGAGATTGAATAGATGTCAACAAGAAATGATGGATAATACTTGTTAAAGCGGCAGATAAACATAAATACGATCTATGAAATGTTTACAAACTCCACTTTTACTCCATCGACAGCCGATCTGAAGCCTGCACCATGAAGCAAGATTAGTGACTTTGCAAAGTGGTGTTTTTGGTATCAGGAAGCCGGTTCTTCTCATCTGGGTTTATCGCCATTGTGACCAATTATGGAAATGCCGGATTGGGTTACTAGATTAGAGATCAACACATCTTAAAGGGATGATTTTGCTAGAGCCAGACAGCTTTTCAAGGATTTAACTTTAGTTAAGGTTCTTTAATAAATTCTCAAAGTATTTCTGAACAAATGTGCATGGGGACAAAATGTACCATAATGGTGTCCTACTGTCATTTAAAAAAAAATTTACACTTACTAAAAACTTATTCAGGACAGTGAAACACTTTAGAGCCAAATTATTTCTTACAAATATTTTTGACCTAAGTTATGTTTACCAGTAAAATGCTTGATATCTGGAAATTATGAAACAATAAAATATTTTATGATTGTGTTTGGTTCACTGGTTCCAGCTCCATCGCGTTTCACAATCAGAAAGCCTGGACAAAGTAAAAGCTTCCTAATGGCCTGTAATCTGCCGCACTTTGCGATGTTTGGCTTTGGTTCAGCCAGACGCGTTAAAGTTTCTTTAATCGAAGCTGCTTCACGGCACAGGACTCAGCTCCGCCTTCTTCTCTGTCAGAACTCCTTGATTGTCATCATCAAAGTACTGATTTGTTATCAGAGGTTTTTTTTATTGCTTTCACAGTGACCCCAGTGTTCACCTCCCACGTATCAATAAAGCTGCAGGTGGTTCATAAAATTCTCTTTAAATGTTTGCTACGCTAAAAGAGTCTCGTTCAGTTTGCAGCTGCAATTGTAGAGCCGGCTGGCTGGCTGTTGCATCACGTTGAAGACTGGCTGACATCATCACTGGTACGTTCTCTACCTCCACATGCCTTTGGCATCTTCGCAAGCCTCCCTGACCTCTGCACCTGAGAGATTAGCGTTTCTCTGGCAACTCTCCCGACAACATTGTGAGGTGACGCAAACAACTTGCATTCAGTAAATCTGTCATCATCACCAGAGTAGTGCAGAAAACAAGCACACGTGTGCTTTAGATGTTTGCGTTTGTATAAATCTGTGTGTGTGTGTGTGTGTGTGTGTGTGTGTGTGTGCTTGCTACCTGTGTCTGATGGGTTGCATATTTGGATTCGAATGTTTTATATCACTGATGTGTACGTGTCTGAAGAACTTGATGCTTTGTGCTGATGTGTCTGGTGTGTTGTGCCAGGGTGTGTAGTGTTTTCTGTGTGTCAGTGTTCGTTGGGCATGTGTCTGATGGTGTGGAAGATCCAGTCCATCTTGGTGCTCCATCCTCCGTGATGAGCATCGTTCATCTGTTTTGTGAAGTACTCCAGCGCCTCCTGCTGGCTCTTTTCTGGGGGAAAGAAAACATGGTGAGACGGCAGAATCTACAGTTTTACAGTGGTGTGTGTGGTCTAGTTTCTTCTAGTTTTCTGCGTTTTGGATTTGTGCACTAGAAGAACCTTTTGTTTTTCAGTCAAAGTTGTTTTTACACTTATCTGTTGACTTCTCCATTTATATTAGAACAGAAAATCTGACCAATAAGGAAGCTTACACAACTGGATTTGGCAGACATCTCAACAAATACAAGGTGGTTGAGTAAAAGGTAAAGCCAACTACTTTCATTTGTATTAAAAATGATCATCTCTATCCTGAAAGGCCAGAAAGAGCCATCAAAACATTGCGACCTTAAAGCTAGTTATGCCCTAAGCATTTCTCTAAGAAAAAAAATATGACAACTTTCAAGACCAGGGAGTTGTGTGCACAACACACCTTCAGTTCTGTGGTCTATGCGATGAACTTCAATGTTGTTCAAACTAGATTTTCAGAAGACTTTTCAATAAGGTCCTTATCAAAGTTACCCAAAACTTAACCCAACCTCACCTTAGGATCCCTTCATCAGTCCGAGTCGTGGAAGACATTTCTTCTAGGACCAACATCAACAAAACTCTAGATTAAGTAGAGTGGGACGTCGTCCTGAGTGGTCTAAAAATCTACTTTCCACAAATTCATCATCAACCCACCACCTGAATCGGCTCCAATAGTGTGACCCTGATCTGTCAATCTCAGGAAATTTAAGGCGGCCTGGTTCTCGGTCCAAGGTTACTTTGGTCAGTAGCTGAGTTGTCCTGAACTGAACCATTCAAAATGTTTCCAAATGCAACATTTACATTTTCTCCAACACTTCTGATCAACCTTCATCGTTTCTACTTTCCTCTACTGATATGCTCACTTTCAACCTCCGTTTATTTCGTCATTGTTCCCCGTCTTCTCTTTTCACAAATCTATTCTCCAGTTTTACCTAATGCAAGGGTCTTCCTCAGATAGGCGATGTCATCAAAGCTCTGCAGTTCCGGCATGCCGCAGCCCAGCATGAGGGAGAAGAGGTTGATGAAGAGGCTGGCGTGCTGCCGGATGGCCAGGTAAGCTTTGTAGCACATCTCCTGGAACCTGCATCACAGACAGGTAAACACAGGTGAGACGGGCCAGACAGGAGCAGCAGCTGCAGACAGATTAGGACCAGACGAGACCTCTCAAACTCCTTCGTCTTTGTCGACTCCTGAATGCCTTTACTGATGACGATGAGAAAGTCCTGAGTCAAGACGAAAGGCACACGCTCCCTTTTGTAGCCAAATTTCTTCTTCTTGTGATCTAGGAAGTGACCGAAGTCGATGTGGAACAGCTGAAGGGAGAGGAATGACAGTCAGTGTGGGGAACGAAGGGAACACGAAGTGAAGAGGAGGGTTAAGAGGTTCACCTGTCCATTTTCCTTCACCATGATGTTGGAGTTGTGTCGGTCTCCAATTCCAAGGATGAATGTGGCAACGCAATAACCTGCACAGGATCTGGTGAACAAGTCGATGGCCCGATCATACCTTTGAGACAGGTAAGACAAGTTAGTCAAAAGGCTTGATACACATATGGAGAACTAAAACAGTTCATCCA